TTTTCTTTTTTAATAAATCTGCAAAAATGTCAACGATTCTGTGTTTTTCTGTCAATATGGGGTGCTGTGTGTACATTAATGAGGAAAAAAAATTAACTTAAATGATTTTAGCAAGTGGCTGCAATATAACAGAGTGAAAAATTGAAGGGGGTCTGAATACTTTCCGTACCCACTGTATATTTAATAAAATAAAATATTTAAAAATCCTTAAACGTTTTTTTATTTCAGCTAATTTCAAAGGCGACATTTCTCATTTTCATTGAGTTTAACATTTGTGTTCAGTTAAACATTAATAAAACAATATATGGACATTTAAAACAAAACAAAACCAATAAAAATTACACAAAACAAAAATTATTACAAATGAAACTAAAATTAACATTAAAACTGAAAATATAAAAATAAAAAATAAAAACATTCAAAAATGTAAAAACTATAATAGATTAGATTAGATTGAATTTTATTGTTATTGCGCAGAGACAATGAAATGCAGTCAGCATCCAATCAGAAGTGCAAATAGCAATATTTTAATAAATGTGTATATATCAAATATTGTGTTTCTGTAGAAGAGTGCAAGGTTTGAGGTGGAGAAAGTGCAAATGAAGAGGAGTAGAAGTATTGAGCTGAATATGTGCAGTGAGCGATGCAGTATGGTGTGTAATTAGTCAGAATCATCTAACGCTGTGTGTGTGTGTGTGTGTGTGTGTCTGTGTGTGTGTGTGTGTGTCTGTCTGTCTGTCTGTCTGTGTGTGTCTGTCTGTGTCTGTCTGTGTCTGTGTGTGTGTGTGTGTGTCTGTCTGTCTGTCTGTCTGTGTGTGTCTGTCTGTGTCTGTCTGTGTCTGTGTGTGTGTGTGTGTGTCTGTCTGTCTGTCTGTCTGTGTGTGTCTGTCTGTGTCTGTCTGTGTCTGTGTGTGTGTGTGTGTGTCTGTCTGTCTGTCTGTCTGTGTGTGTCTGTCTGTGTCTGTCTGTGTCTGTGTGTGTGTGTGTGTGTCTGTCTGTCTGTCTGTCTGTGTGTGTCTGTCTGTGTCTGTCTGTGTCTGTGTGTGTGTGTGTGTGTCTGTCTGTCTGTCTGTCTGTGTGTGTCTGTCTGTGTCTGTCTGTGTCTGTGTGTGTGTGTGTGTGTCTGTCTGTCTGTCTGTCTGTGTGTGTCTGTCTGTGTCTGTCTGTGTCTGTGTGTGTGTGTGTGTGTCTGTCTGTCTGTCTGTCTGTGTGTGTCTGTCTGTGTCTGTCTGTGTCTGTGTGTGTGTGTGTGTGTCTGTCTGTCTGTCTGTCTGTGTGTGTCTGTCTGTGTCTGTCTGTGTCTGTGTGTGTGTGTGTGTGTCTGTCTGTCTGTCTGTCTGTGTGTGTCTGTCTGTGTCTGTCTGTGTCTGTGTGTGTGTGTGTGAGTGTGTGTGTGTGTGTGTGTGTGTGTGTCTGTCTGTCTGTGTCTGCGTGCGTGTGCGTGTGCCTGTGCCTATGCGTGTGTGTGTGCGTGTGTGTGTCAGAGTGCTGGGATCAGGATCCGCACCGGCGGCCCAGTTTCTCCTCCATCCTGCAGCAGCTGACGGCTCTGGAGGAGCAGGTGATGGACGAGATGCCGCAGGACTCCTTCCATTCGCTCCAGGAGGACTGGAAACTCGAGATCCAGGACATGTTTGATGAGCTGCGAGCCAAAGAGAAGGTACGTGCGTGATTCAGTGGTAGACCCGTCTGTGCTGCAGATCTGTTCTCATGGCTTAATGGGACGGTCACCACAACTCCACAGCAAACGCATGCACAAATTCTGCTCATGAAATGTAAAAATGTAATTTTTTACATTAATGACTGCGGAAACCAACAAGAAAGTTGAGATTATATCGCCACCTGTTGGTTTGGCATGCTCTTGACAGTGCTACATAGCATGCGTTTGCGTTTTCATGTGGACGGAGATTTTTTTTAAAAACGGAAGAAGGAAAAAACGATTTTAGAATGCAAATAGTTTTCAATTGTCATGTGTCTCCTACCAACAAGGCACATTTTCTGTGTGAGTTTGTTGTGATCAGAACGACTTTAAAGTCTGGTAGTGTATGATCCTCAGTTGTTGATGGCCAGTTTTTCTCTGTAACCATTTGCAAAGTCGGCAAGTGTATGATCCCTAGTGTTTTCAAATCTGTTCAGATTTTAAAAGTGGTGTAGTGTATTCCAGCCTTAAGTCCAATGGACATCTTTTATGGTGCTTTCTTTAGGCTAATCATCAGTCCTTGGTCCCTTCGCTTTGGTTTCCATTGAAGAAAGTAAGTCATATGCATTTGGAATGCCATGAGTAAATAACAACTGACTGTTCATTTTAAGTATGCCGCTCACAGGTTTCAACCAGCTGTACAGCAGAGGTGGAAAGTGTACGAAAATATTCTACTTAAGTAAAAGTACAATTACATTAATGAAATTTTACTTAAGTACAAGTAAAAGTACCAGTCTAAAAATCTACTCAAGTAAAAGTAAAAAGTAGCTCATTTAAAATTTACTCGGAGTAAAAATTACTTGGTTACATTTTAACAGTGGGAGGGAGGCGAAAATGGGATAGGCCACGGGTGTCAAACTCAGCCCTGCACAGTTTAGATATAACCCTAATTAAACCTATCTGATCCAGCTAATCTAATCATTTAGGCTTATTTGAAAACTACATGATATGTGTGTTGGAGTAGGGTTGGAACTAAACTCTGCAGGGCTGCAGCCCTCCAGGAACTGAGTTAGACACCCCTGCTTTAATGAGTATCTGTCAATCTCTGAATGTTTCATGGGCTGATAAAGGGTCAGGGAAACATATAAAACAAAGACTTTTTCCAACTTAAAGGGGTCATATGATGCAATTTCATTTAAGTGGCAGCAAGTCACTATTAATAAGTGAGTCATTGCGATTGAACCGAATCATTTAAACGCTTGATTCATTCAGGAACGAAACACCGTCATGTTGCTCAGAGATGCAAAACTGTGCTGTGGTGGCTGTGTTTGGAATTCTTTTTGTTGGAGAAATAGAGCAAAAACAGGCAATATGGTGTCTAAAATCTCTTAATTAACTTCTTGTTTATTGAACTGTTGTAAAAAAATCTATATGTAATCATGCTGATTTTTGGAGGAAAATTTTTTTTTAAATGTAGTGAAACCCCCGTCTGCGTGTCCTGAAGCGCTTGATCAGCGCCGCTGCTCCACCAACTACAACGTTCAGCAAAACGTCCGAATAAACGAAATCCGGTAGAAGATTGCGTGGTGTGTACTGCCGAATGTTCAGCAGCTCGTCCCTGGTAAAACTGATCGTGTTTGAGAAATGAAAAACTAACAAAAACAGTACAAACAAAAGATCATCATTCATTTGAAATAGAAATCTTTTGTAACATTATAAATGTCTTTACTGGCACTTCTGATCAATTTAAAGCATCCTTGCTGAATAAATGTATTATTTTTTTTTTTTTTTAAACAGTAGTTTATTATTTTATTTAATATAATCAGACAGATATGATGGAGATATGAATCTGTACTGCATATGATCCAGGTGTGTTTTATTTGTGTTATTTTAGTATAATTGAGACATAGGTTTTTATTTATGTTTTGAATTATTATTTTTTATATATATATATATATATTACATTTTTAATAATTATAGTTATAAAGTATTTTTTAATATTTTTTCACATCTATATATTTTTTATACATTTTTATTTTATTTTAGCACATCAGGTTAAACTAAATAAAAATAAGAAATATTGCCTTGGCAGCTAGTTGAAAAAAAATATATATATTTTATTTTACTTCGGTTAACTTTTACTATATATATATATATATATATATATATATTTACTTTTTTATTATATATATATATATATATATATATATATATTTGTATTTGAATGATTTTAGGTTTAGTTAACGATAGTTAACTCAGAGTCCAAAAGGTTGAGAACCGCTGATCTACACAAGTTCTGACAGTAAACATTTTTTTAACCCTAAGTGTGCTGGTGTGTGTGTGTGTGTGCAGGAGCTGCGGTGTCGCGAGGAGGAGCTGAAGCGCGCGGCGCTGGAGCAGAAGTCTCACGAGGAGTTCCTGCGTCAGCGCGAGCAGCAGTTAGCGCAGTGGGAGCAAGACGTGTTCGAGCGTGAGCTATCGCTGCTCATCCTACACCTCAACCAGAACCAGAAACCCAACGTCAAGAAGCGCAAGGGAACCTTCAAGAAGCACAAGCTGAAGGTGAAGAACGGAGAGAAGATCAGCATGCCGCAGGGTGAGGCTTCACGTCACACACACACGCCTTCTAGTGGCTTGATAAGGTATTTCTACTAGCTTTTAGTGGATTGCTATGCGGTTGCTAAAACTTTCTGGATTATTTTTAATTGATTATGTGTTGCCAGGGCGTTGCTAGGGTGTTTGTAGTGGCTGCTAGGGTGTTGCCGTGCAGTTACTAGGGTGCTCTGTGTGATATTCTGATCTGTAGATATGGTTTGGGTCGCTCCTTCAGTTTGTCCTCACTAATAACCACATAATCTGTTACGATCAGCGTGTTTGAGGTCGTTATATAAAGCTGACGATCCACAGTGCTCTCTAATTATTACATGCACTTTATTAGAGACGTTAATGAGCTGCAGTCGTTCAGTAATTAGCTGTTATGACTCTAGAATGGAAAGAAGTTAACGTGTAATAGAACACAGAGAACACACACATTTCTTCACATCGTTAGTAATAATTAACCGAACTGCACTCAACAGTGGTTTCACTGTTAAAGCGAGACGCTAAAGGTGAATGGGTTAAAAAAATTACTAAGAGATATCAACATAATTATACTGTTGTTATTAATTAATGTGCAATAAGACAGTTGTGTTATATTTCTGAAATGTTATGTTTAAATTTGATGCATTATTTCATTAAATATGCACTAATTTGCAGAAATGTCCAGAACATAAATCTAAACCCAGATTCCTAATTTTTGTTTGATTTTGTTGTCATATTAGAGTTAGATGTTTTTATAGAGGGGATTTTGGATTTCTGTTTTTATCACTCCATAAATCAGAAAATACTGTCAACAGACAGAAAACGAATTTATTTTCACCGTTTTTAAGAATAAAATGTTATAAAAACTCGTGAGTGATATATCAACAAACCCCTCAGTAAAATCCTTCAGAATATAGAGAGGAATACATCTCTAAGTTTTGGTGTGTGTGAGTGCTGCTGAAGTGGAGAAACAAACTCATTTTGAGAAAAACGCCTTTAAAGATATGTACTGTTATTGAAATCTATAGATGCAAATAAAGTGTCAAAATAAAACCAGGCAAATGAAATGTGAACAAATCCCTCAGTAAAACACCTTCAGAATGTAGAGAGGGAATACATCTCTAAGTTTTTATGTCTATAAGTGCTGCTGAAGAGGAGGAAAAACTTTTAAAGATATCTATTGGAACTGAAATCTACAGACGCAAATAGATAAAGTGCCATAAAACAAACAATTAAAATTGCATCCACTAGTCTGAAAGGAGACATTTTATGGAAGCAAATCTCAATGGTTTTGTCTGTAGTGCGTTGAAGATGTTTTCTTGTCTAGTGTTGAATGTACGTGTTTGTCTTGATCTGATTGTACATATTGTTTATTTTTTGCCTTGTAGATTTTATCCATAAGATCACGGTCCAGGCGTCTCCGTGTTTGGAGAAGAGGCGTAACTCTCCGGATCTGGGCTCGCCGTCCATCGGTCCGCGCTTCCGAGCGATACAGCGTGAGTCTGTCTGGATATCTCATTCCTTCGCTTATTCTTCCATATATGCATTACAAAACACAAAATCAACTTTCAAATACAATCGAAACACAGTAAACGGATACAAAATTAAGAGGAAGATATAAAAGAACAAAGGAAGTCATATCTGGCAGAAAAATAAAATGCATAGAAGTGACATTGCAATAAATTGCATATGGTGACACTGTTACAACTGGAATTATGGAATAAAAAATTATTATTGGTATTAGTATTTCAGGGTTTATAATGGTATATATGGGAATGCAATGAACAATCAGTTGTCATCATGATGAAAGTGTGTTTGTCAGCACATGGTGGCGCTGTTGTGTCTCATGTTTGTTGTCTCTCTCTGCTGTGTGTCTCAGTGAGTCCCAGTGAGAGTAAGTGGAGCTCTGTTTGGCCGCTGGAGTCTCTTCCTCTCAAGCAGACCAACGGCGAGAGGAGATTCGCTCCTCATCTGAGCCCCAAAAGCCCCAAGAGTCCAAAGATCCTCCGTCTGAGTGCGCAGGAGAACAGGTACGGGACGGGTACGGGTGTATATCAGCGCGTTTGTGTGTGAAACTATTGAATCTGAAGTGTGAGTTTGTGTGTGTGTCAGTCTGTCGATGAGAGCCAAGCTCCTGGAGGTGGACAGTAACGAGAACGAGGACTCCAAAGCCGATTTTGATGAGTACAGACCAATCACACCAGAGTCCAGCCACAACGGTAACACACACACACACACACTCTCTCTCTCTCATTCAACTTTACACTATTACCGAGAGCTATCAATTTTAACATTTATTAGACTTTAAAAAGTAACTTTTAATTTAAGTGAACTTAAAACAATCTTCATATAAACCCATTATAATTAATGTCAGCTTTTTAGCTACCTGTGCCCTTCAGCAAGTAGGAAATATACAGAAATAGAATAAAGTTATCAAACACTAAATTCTAAATTAAATATAGATGAATCCTTAAAGCTCTTTTTTTCTTTAGTTCTTTGATGAACAGACGTCACAGCAGCAGGTTATGAGGTTATTTCAGCTGCTGAACATGACACGGATCTGACACGCATCGTAGTTTCTCATAACTCTTTACCTTTTCTGACTCACTGCAGCTCTTAAAGTCTCTATAATGAGCTGAGGAGTTGAATGGGGTCTTAGATGAGGGACACAGTGCTGCTGCTTCAGGAAAACCATTTCAGAGACATGTTCTTAAATCTGACTCACATAACAGATACTTGCATGCACACACCGTTTTAAGGCAGCTTTAATCGCCTTTTTGGTAACTTCATGACTTAACTGACAAAATAACTACGACAATGCATGCTCATAGTTTCAACCAGAAAATTTTTTACTGACATATGGCATTTGGTCCTTACACGAAGACTTAAAGATTTCAGCATCTATATTTTATATGGCAATGATTTGCGATAAAAAAAAGAGTGCTTTATTAACTATAGCTTTCAAAAATAAATAAATAAGAAACTGACAAAATATCAGTGTCTGGCTTAGTTTAGAATCTGTATCATATCAGCTAGAAATCTCCATATTTCTATGTGTGTCTCTCAGAGGGCTCAGAGAGTGAGGAAGGTGGCTTGTCCCCGTGCAGTTCTCCCAAACCGGATCACTCCGGGCCGGTCTGTCTGGGAAAGAGCACACACCACGCTCTGCTCGGCAGCGCCGCCCTGCTGGCGTCCGTGGCTCTGGGTCGCTGTCTGGAGCCGCAGCACCCGCCCACACCGCCTCCACGGGCCTCGTCACGGACACACCTGCCCACGCTGGAGCCGGAGCGGGAGGTGGGAGATCTGATCACATTCAGCACGGACTCACTGCCGCGAGGCTTTCTGGACTTGCTGAAGCCTCCGGAGATCAAGCCGCTGCTGCTCACGCCGCCGCCACCCAACCCGCGGGACAGAGAGCGGCCGGGGCGCAGGACGGCTTCGGACTGGAGCGCACACGCCAACGGAGACGCCGAGGTGCCGCAGCAGAGCGGAGAGCGCAGGAGGAGGTCCAGCTACGGACTGAACTCATCACAGCTCAGTAAGACTGCTTTTGGTTTGATTATTTTGCACTTTATACAACACAAACTGCTCCAAAGCAGATTTACAAAAATAAACAGTGTTGCAAAGTTCTTCAGTTTCAGCAATCTGTCATTTCAGTGGTCGACCGATATATCGGCCAGTATTTGGCATTTTGTACTTATCAGCATTGGGCATTTTCTTTTTCTGTTTGGCTGATATTTCGGAAGCAGGACTTTTATTTTGACAGTGCTGATAACACCAGCGCCTGAGCGTACAGTAGGGCTGTCAAAATGGCTGAAAAACTAAATTCGAATTTTGTACTTAAATGTTATAAATGTTAAATGTTATAAAAATTCGAATTTAAAATGCATAATTTCAGTTAGGGTAAAGAAAAGCTTTTGACTTCTCTCCTGAGGCCACAAGAGGGTGCATCGAGCAAAATATTACTAATGCGCATTTATTCAAAACATAAGATAACTGTGAAAAAAAGTGCATAATGTTTATAAACCAATCATAATTAATTAAGTTGCTTAAATAATTATAAACAAAACAGCATCATGAATGTATGCATAGTATAATACAAAGGCCCGAAAGCCGATCACACAGAGTACATTTTTCATTTAAAACCATGAGATGCAGTGGGATGGGGAAAAAACATGCCATAAAGTCTCGAGATATGTTCGAGATATGTTTCAAAGTTAAACTTGCATTAATTTTACATGGCTTTCTAAACATGTGTTACACTGTCAATAAGCGTGACCAGGGTTGCCAGGTTTTCACAACAAAACCCGCCTAATTGCTACTCAAAACTAGCCCAAAACTACAAAACGCGGCAAGCGGGAAAACCGCGGACTTGGCAACACTGAGTGTGACTGATACTCGAGCCAACTCTGCTCTAACTGTCGACTAGCAGTGGGAGTCAGATTGCCCCCTAGTGGATGGCTAAAGATTTGTTAACTCATATAAATAAATTCTCAAGGGAACGTCTCTGAATTAACTGATGCTCGCGCCCACCTTGACAGGTGCTGGGGGGCGCGCCCCACAGGTTGAAAACCCCCGCTCTAGAAAATGTGCGAAATATGATGTAAACAAGATCTTCTCCGGATTGATGTTCTCTTTTCCTGCAATATTTGTAATGAACAACGCAGCAGCGCCGCATCTAGTGGCTTCAACTGGATAGACTAACAAACACATTATAATGCAACGACACTTACATTGTCATTGCATCTCGTGCGCCACTGATAAGGCTTCCTGACGCACACCTAAAATTCGAATGCAACATTCAATATGGATGTTTATTTTAAATTCGACGAATATTCGAAATTAGAATTTGTTTTGACAGCCCTAGTGCACAGAGCATTCTCCATCTTCATTAGTTTACTTTACTGTCTCTGTTTAACAGTTCTGACTAATTATTACACATAACTTTTAAACAAAGTGTTATATACTATGTTATATATAAACAGTATATTATTATTATATGTTATCATATTTAATGTAAAATTCCTGCATTTAATCAGTTAATTCATTTAGAATAATAAAACACTATAGGCTGTTATCAAACATTAAATCTGTGGTGTTAAAATGGATTTTGTTGATGCAGAAGTGGCACAGAAACTGCATCTAAAGCAACATTTAGATGTATTTACACTGATGGACTGATATCGTGGCCAATTTACATGATAGACTGATATTGGCACATTTTGACAATATATCATCATCTGATTTCCTTCCTGGCTGGTTAACAGGGATAGTAGTCAGTGGATGATGCAGGTCATCTTCAGTTCTCAAGTGTGCTATTTTTTTGTGGGTGTGTGTGTGTGTGTGTCTGTGTGTGTGTCTGTATGTGTGTGTGTGTGTGTGTGTGTGTGTGTGTGTGTATATATAAAAACCCATCAGAGGAACTGCTGTCTGGACCAAACAGAAAGTAGATCAAAAATATTTATTGCAAATATTAAATTAGAGTAAAAATCTCAGTTTTCCATTTGCATTTACTGTTTTAACTCGCAACGCCAAGTCAATGGTCTGATTTCCAGGAAATGCATTTACTGATCAAAATGTAAACCTTGAATGCAATGTGAGTGGCTTTGGATAAAACCATCTGCCAAATGCATAAATGTAAATTTTAAAATAAAAATGCATGCACCAATACAAAAATATATAAAGAAAAACTGACAGTAGACCATTGAACCGTTTAAAATAATTTGTTTGTGTTGATGTAGCTATGATGTGTGCATTAATAATTTGATAGTTTGGGTCAGTTATTACACCATATAAACAGTTATTTTAGTATCACTGAGATACTATTCTAGTTTTTATTAATAACTTGAATGAGTTTTTATGTTTGTATTTTCAGTTTTCAATTTTTATTTTACAATTGTAGTAATTTGTTGTGTGTTTTTGTCATTTTTATCAGTTTTTGTTTTATAATATATCGTTTTTAAATTATGTTTTATTTCTGTTTTAGTTGTGGTCATTTTAGGTTTTTATTAATTTTATTTCAGTGACATTTATTTCAAGTAACATTTTTTTATTTTATTTTAGTTTTAGTTAACTTTAATAACTCCCCTTTATTTATATAGCACTTTATAGTACAGATTGTGTCAAAGCAGCTTTACAGTGTTAAAGAGGAAAATAATGTTTCAATGATGCAGACAAAATTCAATTCTGTTGTAGAGCAGCTCTAAAAAGAAGACGATAGTAAACGGTGGATTTTTCAGTTAAAGTCAGATCATCGTTGATTGAGTTCAGTTTAACAACCATGTAAAGTAATCAATTATGGAATGAGTCAATTCATCTATGAAAAATGCATCTTTGCATTTAACACTGTACAACTATTCAGAACCATTAATTAAGCATTGAACTTTGGTTCAAAATATTTTTGACTCACTAACCATAACTAATTCTCTTCTCTGTCTTCTCTACTAGTGTTGGATCTTCCGCTGTGTCAGGACACGTTTGAGGCCGAGGACAAGTCTCTGCTGCCGTTCGCCCTGTATCCACACCCCCGATTGTGGAGCCCTAAAACGCGGCGTCTGGAGGTCAACATCGTCCCTCGGCCGCGACCGTCCCCTAACCGGCCCCGCATCGACCCGTGGAGCTTCGTATCGGCCGGTGTGACGGACAGACCGGGTGCCAAGAAAGCCGTCAGCAGTCCCACGAGCCCTCGACTGGGGTACCAGCCCTCGCCAACAAACCCCTTCACAAACTGTGACCTCTTCCCTTCCCCGGACTGCGATCCCTTTAATCTGAAGGTCGACCCTTCCATGAACTCGGACCACGTCTCGACCTTTGACCCCTTCTCGGCCCCCTTCCCCATCTCGCGCTCGGCGCCCTGCTCCACCAACGGCAGTCCCAATCTGTCGCTCAGGGTGGCGCCGCTGAACCCGGCCGACTCTCCGCTGATAGACCTGGGCTGGATGGGCGGCACCAAAGAGAGGGTCCATCCTCACCGGAGCCTCGGCCTCAGTCCGTTCAGATCACCAGCTCCGCTCAGAGACGACAGGTTCTGAACACTGTCCCGCAAACGAGGGTCCATGCCAATTCTAGGAAACAAAACCAATACTGCTGATGTGTTGAAGGGTTCTGAATGCTCATTCAGTGGCGTGACTCCTGTCGGGAGTCACAAAACCTCAGTGTCTTCCTCTCTTGATTGGTTGGTCTTCCTGTCTTTCAGCACTGTCTCAGGGTCTTAACGGCCTCTAGTTGCGCTTAAGTAGATCCGCACTCGTTGCATCGCTTTATCTGGTCTCAAATGTGATGTAGTTATTGTCATATGATTTCAAAATGATTCCTTGTTTCAGCCCACATTCGTCTCTGAAGGCGACAAAAGTTGCATTTCATAATCCATGTCACGCGTCCCTGAATGAGTCGAGAAACGTTCTGCTGACCTCGCTGGTGGTGTTCGAGTTGAGTCAGAGAGTATGGGGATGTATCAGCTGACAGAAGTAGAAATACAGATCAGCCTGAGATTGAAATCACAAAATAATTTTTTTTAGATACCATCGTGTTGGCTCGCCAAATGTTGGACTAAAGAGCGTCAGGTAGAGTTTTAGTCCAAAGCAATACGTAAACCTCAAATCACTTTCATCATCAGTAGTTTTGTCTGGTTTTCCAGTAAAATAATATTTAAATAGTCTTGAATTCAGATGCATTGAGAGGAAATCCATTTTATATTTCTCAAACTTCACTAAATTTTGTTAATGGCTAAAACATTTTGGCATTGAGACGAGACTTGTGTTTTTCAGTGTAGGTGCTTTTGACAAAAGTTCATCCAGTTGATTTTAGGTTGGATTTCCAGTACATAATATCTAAATATTCAAAAGCCAAAATACATTTACTAGAGATGCAAACTGAAAAGTCTTGTTTTCCGATGAAAATGATGAAAATGAGTTTTTAAAGCAAGAAAGAAATTTGTTCATGGTGTAAGAAAACTGAACTTAATTCAAAGGGGAAACAAGTTTATATTTCTTCCTCCAAATTTTCTATCTTGTTTTAAGCAGCAAATTCAATTCATATCGATCATTTTTATCGGAAAACAAGATCTCGGAAGATATCAGAAAACAAGACTTGACGGTGAAACTCTTTCTGCATATGGAAGCTCATTTCCGCCACGGAATAAAAAGGTCATTGGAACAATCTCATAATGAATGTCTCGCAATTCTGAGGTTATATCTGAGTTAAAGTCTCAACTGTGAGTTCTAAACGTAGAATTGTCAGAAAAAAGACAAAAAAATTGCAGGATAAAAAGTTGCAATTACTTCTTTAAATGCTTTTATTCCATGGCAGAAGCAAGCTTTCATATAATTATGTTGTTGTTTTCACCACAGAAAAAATACAAGTAATTATTACTTTTTTAACTACTTTTTTCTCGCAGTTGCGAGACAATATCTCGCAATTTTTTTTTAGAATCTCGAGTTTGTATCTTGCAATTTTTGACTTTATATTATATTTTTCTCTGATTAAAAAAAAAAAATAAAGTCAGAATTGTGAAATAAAAACTTGCAATTACCTTTTTCTTCTGTAGCAGAAACAAGCTTCCCTAGGGTTGTGAGATTTAAATTCGGGGGGGATAAAAATTGCTAGATTTTAATAACACAGAATTCCAAAACAATTGTGAGATATTGAATTGGGATAAAAGTCAGAATTGTGAGATATAAATTCAGAATTGTGAGATAAAGCGTTGCAATTAGCTTTTGTTATGTATTTATTTTTTTATTTATTATAACTCTGAAACGGAAACAAGTTTCCATAGATTTGCGAGGTTCTTCTATAGCATAAACTAAGAACTCATGTTTCTAACTTGCAATTGTGAGAGATAAATTCACAATTGGGATAAAAAGTCTGAATTATGAGATGTAAAGAATATAGGGGAAAAAAAGCGAGATGTAAAGTTATAATTCTTAGAATAGAGATATAAACTTGCAGTTGTGAGATATAAGTTCACAATGTGTCAGAATTGTGAGATAAAAAGTTGCAGTTAGCCTTTTCATGTTTTATTCTGTGGTGAAAATAAGCTTCCACGGATATGGGGTGCTCCTGCTGGATATCTTTGTCTTCTGACTGACGTTCACAAACACCTCTGCGAGCAGATCGTTTCTCCTCATTAGTGATGAGGATGATGGTGAATAAAGCTAATCGCAAACTATTAATATTTATTACTGAGGCCTTTAACACACTGGATTCAAGAGATTTTAAGGGTCAGAGACACAGTCCACGTTAGGATGCTTTATTGTATTTTTTATTAAGACATATCTTTAGGTTTTGTTTGGTTCTTCACTGGAGTCTGTGGAGATATGGGTGCTGCAAATGGCCAAATCTGTGCTTTACAGTGTCAGAGTTGGACTGTGTGCCTTGATTGAAAAGAGAATTATCTGAACAGTTTTTCCTTTGAATTCTTCTTTTACGCTCATGGTTTTTGAGATTTCCTCGACCAAAACACTCCAGGCGTCTCTCAGGCTCACGGACGTTCACACTCATCTTCCACTACCTGCTAAAAACTTGCCGATTTGAGGGAGAATCTTCTGTGTGAGGGGAAGATTTCTTGTTGATGATGGTTCATGTTTTAATTGAAGCTTATTGCTATATATTCAGTTCTGTTGAAGCCCGTATAACATCTGTTGTGTGATTGTGTGTGATTGTGTGAGTGTGTTATTCTCAATGGGCTGGGCCTAATCACTCCATTACTCTCTGTGTGTGTGTGTGTGTGTGTGTGTGTGTGTGAGCTCAATCGTGAGTGCGTTGTTTCTGTATTAAAGGCTGAATGTTTATTTTGCTAATTGTAATGGGTTTTAACCTGTGGAACTTTTCAATTTAAAAAAAGAGAAAAAGACTGCAAAAAGGAGCAAGACCAAATAAAATTTAACACGACTCTAAAACTGTGCCTGTGCTTGTGATTCTCACCATCTGTAACAAACATGGGAAAATATACAAATTAGTTTGTGAAAAAACGAAAATCTAGTGTTGTTTTTCGAATCGTGGTAAAGTTTTATAGTGTTTAAATATTATCATATACTGTATATAATTCAGTATGAGCATGAATAAATATGGCTAGTGTTATTTTAGTTTCATTGAGATACTATATTAGATATTTGTATTTCATTTTTTTAATGAATAATACATTTTATTTTATTATATATTGTTTTATTGATATATATCATTTTTATAAGTTTTATTTTAGTGATTTTAGTTTATCAAGTTAAACTAAACAAAAATGAGAAATGCCTTATGT